TGGGGAGGAGGATCTTAAACTCGATCGTCTGGGGGATGGGGAGCCAGTGAAACCTGGCAAAGATGGGGAGGGGTGATCGTTTCACGGATTTGTTTTCAATTTTTTTTAAAAAGTGACTTGAGTTTCCATGTGGCTGGATAGGCAGGTTGATACCATGCACGCTGTTCTGCTATTAAAACCAATATTAGAAAATTCTGCCTCTGTAAGTGTTGGCTGAAGCACACTGCACTTAACTTGCAACATTTGTATGGGCTACTCCAGCCACGATAAATAATTCTTGTTCTTAGCTCACAGAGCTTGAATTGGAAAACATCCAATCGAACTTAGTTAGCTGTAATTAAGCTTTTCTCATAGGTCAATACAGGGGTAGCATTGGGGTTGGGGGAAGATAAGAATACTCTACAGTACTGTGACTGTGTACACAGTGCACAGGGGTAGATAGCACTGTGAAGGGGAGAGAGAGAGGAATATACTGCACTGTGATTGCACTGTTGCTTGGGGCACCATTGTCTGGAGTAAATAGAAAAATATAAAATTACATTTGTATAACAGCTTTCATGTCATGAGGATGTCCCAAGGCGCTGGACAATCAGGGATTTGGACCTAATCAGAAAAGTAAAGATACACATGTTTATCCTAATCGATTATTATAATAATAATTTGTTGAATCCTGTAGCATATTGGTTAGAGCATTCGTCTCACAAGTAAGAGGACCTGATTCTGATTCCCAGGCAGAGCAAAACATTAGGTAAGTTTCCTTACTCCATACGCCTCTGTTTACCTAGTTGTTAATCAATTGGCAGATCGCTTTTCCAGGGGTAATAATCCCTTAAAAAAAATTTGGTCACTCAATCCATGACTGTTTGTGAGACACCACTATGCGCAATTGTCTGCTGTATTTCACCCACAATACATAGTCAATTCACTTTACAGTATATTCTGTGACGTGTTTTGAGTCTTCTCAATGACGTGATAAGGCGCTATAATAATAATAATAATAATCCTTGCATTTGATATAGCGCTTTTCACGTCGGGAGGACGTCCCAAAGCGCTTCACAGAACACACTGTAAAGTGAATTGACTGTATATTTGTGGGCGAACGCGGCAGCCAATTCCGCACAGCAATGTCCCACAAACAGTCGTAGATTGAAAATGACCAATTTAATTATTGTTTTTAGTTTTGGAGGGATTATTATTAGGCGTGTGGAGTAAGGAAACTTGCCCAAGGTTTCACCCTCTGCCTGGAATTGAACTCAGGTCTCTCACTTGCAAAGCGAGTGCTCTAACCACTGAGCTACAGGTCTCCACATCAAATGCAAGGATTATTATTATGAAAGTTGCAGAGAAGCGATTGTTTAGCAGCTTGATGGCTGCATCAGGATCACTGCGGGGGAAGGCCAGAGGGAGAAAGGTCCGAGGAAGAGGTTGTGAGGACTCGGGTGGGGGTGAAGCTTTTTTCCAATAGCGGAAAAAAGATGGTGGAGGGATTGGAAGAAGGAATGGGGATGTGGGAGGTGAGGGAGATGGGGAAATGGTCAGAGATGTCCCTTGTCTGTGATGAATGGATCAGAGATATCAAGGCCATGTTTGATGACAAGGTTCAAGGGGATGGCTGCAATTGTGGGACGGGGAGTTTATATGGAGAGTGAGGTTTAGTGTGCAGAGGAGGGCAGCAAAATCAAAAGAAATGGGGCAACAGGCATTTAAGTGGAGGTTGAATTCCCCATTATGAACAGGTTTTCAGTGCAGAGGCAGAGGGATGAGAGGAGAGTGGAGGCGGCAAAGATGAAGGTCCCAGGGAGGAATTTAGAAGGAATAGTACTAACAGATTACATCCACAGAAGCAGTGTCACCAGGTATTCTGAAGAGATGCTTGTAGGATGCACTGGTACACTTTTCTACTGTGCTTGGAAAGATATCACGTGATAAATTAGTGCACACAATTTGAATTCAGGAATCTCAATAGCTTCCAAAACAAGCTTTGTATGCATGTTAAATACACCACCATTTATTCTGCCATTTCTCCTCTTGTCAGCTTGTCAAGAGTCCGGACAGGCAGGTAACGCAGGTCAAAACCCACTCAAGCCAGCAGCAAAAGGGCTATAATGATGTAATGTCAGGGGGGCTACCCAACAATTTCTATTACTCCATTGTGAGTAAGCACCAACCTGTGCATTTCCCCACCTCCCCACTTCTAAAACAGCACATACTCTATATCCCAGCACATCCAGCTGCAGGTCACATTCCACCACTGCTGCACAAGATGCAATCCTGATCTCAAAGCAATAACCAGAGACGGAGAAGCTCTCAAGAGAGAAAGGGTGGACAAAGATGTTTGTGTCGGAGTTGGGTTAGACAGCGATGCTAACAGAAAGCAGGACTTTGACTCAGTAGTGTGCACATATGCCTGTTTAGGTGTATATTAAAGATCCCATGGCACTATTCGATAAGAGAAGGGAGTTTCTCCTGGTGTCCTGGCCAACAATCCCCCAAATAAAATTGGTCACTCACTGCATGGCTGTTTGTGGGACGTTTCTGTGCAAAAGTAGGCTGCCACATTCATCCACGAAACACACAATCACTGTATACGGTATATCTAGTGACATGCTTGCCTTCCTGACAGACTGCAGTAACGGCCGGTGTTATTTTAACTCTTCGCGCTGCGTCCTCTCAACCGACGGCTCCTGCCGCTGCCCTGGGAGGACATTCACCAGGGAGGGAAGGAGCAGACGTTGGAATGTTGGAAATGGTTTCCGGCCGGATAAAATTTCCAGGCAGGGCGGATGTGGCCGCCAGCTGACCCACGCTGGATGCGGCCTGCAGACCTTTCTCAAATAGGGAATCTGGCCTGCAGCAGCCAAAAGGTTGGACCACCCTGCAGTTCTGACCATTTCCCCCCTGCTCGGGTCCCGACCCAACTGTCCAGCGCATTGGGACGTCCTCCCGATGTGAAAGGCGCTCTATAAATGCAATCTTGTTGTTGTTGTTCTGAGCCCATTCTCCCCCGATGGATCAGGATTAACATGCACATAAAACATTTCGTATTATGACTGTGACCTTATCTGAGTACACTAAGAATTTACTGCTGACGTTAGATTAACGCACTATAAAACACAATCTGTGTTTTATAGTGCCTTCGCAGATAAATGATGCACATAAGCCTTTATAAGAAGTTAGAGAGCTTGTCAGCATATGTTATCTCTGCGTAGATAAAATGCACACCATGTACCTGCTTATTTAAAAATAAATAAAACCCTGCAGTTTTGAACTTGAATGATGTCCAAAGTCAATATTTTTTAAGTCTCTCTCTTTGGGTATCTATTTTCAAACTTATTATTTTCTCCTATTAGGTATCCTTGGGTTGTACAGCATTTCCCCAGAACAAGAACTTGCTTTTCAATCCCCTCTTTTCTCTTGTAAAGTTTCTTCTGGTGTCCCAGCCAACAATTTGCCAGATAAAATTGGTCACTAGCTTCGAGCAAAATGGCTGCTTAATAACAATCATCCTTTCATTTGACAGATGTCGGAAGAATGATTCAAGGATTTCGGGTATTGTTGGCTAGAACAGCGGGAGAAACTCTTTTCTCATAGTGCCTTTGGATTTTATAACTCTTTTCTGATAGTGCCATTGCCACTGCACCTACACCACCTACCAGATGTACTGCACCTCCAGTGCCTACCATGTAATTCTCTGAACCTGCAAAGGCTGCCATGCAATGTACTGCATTTGGTGTCCAATGTACCGCAGCTGCAGAGGCCATCACACAACACAGTGCAGGATACCTGATTTGCTCAAGATTCACTGCATCAGTAATAATAATAATCCTTGCATTTGACGTCTCAAAGCGCTTCACATAACATACTGTAAAGTGAATTGACTGTATATTTGTGGGCGAAACGCAGCAGCCAATTGCGCACAGCAATGTCCCACAAACAGTCATGGATTGAAGTGACCAATTTATTATTGTTTGTTTTGTTGAGGGATTATTAGGTTATCAGGTGTCTGGAGTAAGGAAACCGACCCAGGGTTTTGCCCTTCCGGGAATCGAACCCAGGTCTCCTCTCTCCGTTGAGCGGCGAGTGCTCTAACCACTGAGCTACAGGACTCCACAACAGTATCGCCCTCAGCATTGTGTGGATTGTTGCCCCAGAGTTGGGCAGTGATCCACCGGAGGACATTCACCATCCAATCCCTGCGTTACAGTGAGTACCGGAGTGAAGGTTCTCCGCCTCACCTGTGAGGAGCCATAACCACCCAACACACTGCAGACCCCTCACTGACTGATGAGCTCATTCCGGAGCTGCTGTACAGGTGACTGTGTGTGTGTGTGTTGTTTGGGGGGCGATACATTACTGAAACCGTCCATTCACCACCGTTCCCGCTGTAACCTCTCACACGTGTAACGTCCTGTACACAGTCCCCAAAACACAACACTCGCAGCCAAAGATGAACCCCAGAGACCGCCTGTGACGGGGCACAGAGTAACGGTTCCCGGGAGGTTTGGAGCTGTGCGGTTTTGGGGAACAATTTCGGAAAGTGAATGGCAGAGCCGAGAACCTCACAGCGCCTCGGGAGGGGGAGGGGGGAGGGGGAGGGGGTCCTCTCGGGGTGAAGGAGCTCTACATAAATACATCAATGAAATTCGTTGCTAAATGAACAAAAAAATTACATTTATCTCAATGGGGGAAACACTCCAAATTGGCCTTTTTTGAATGTTTTCCTTTTGAAAACCTTTTCTTAGTTTCAAAAAGCAACTGACCCTGAATTGGCCATTCTGCTGCGACCCGTGAAGGCAACGCATAGTATTGGGCCACTTGTGGTTGGACTTTGGCCTACAAAGTGCTTTACTGTCTCCCGATCCCTGTCCGCTGCCCTCACGGGAGGGAATGCACAATATTGGGATCGCATTTGGGCTACAAAGGCATTTTAATTTCTCGCAAAAACACACACACGCACCAGGGCCGCAGCTGAAGCCTGGGACTAAATTACTCGCACTTACCGGCCACGGGGTTGGTCAGAGCGGGCAGGTGGACGGCGAAGAGGAGGCAGAGGCAGAGGCGAGGGTGGAAGGCGGTCATGTCCACGGAGGCGGATGGGCTGTGAGGAGAAACGACGACTACCAGTTGTCGGGAGCTCAGTGCTGGCGGGCGGCGGGCGGCCCGGAGCCGGGAGGCCGGGCCCTCAGCGCCATGGCGGGGGGGGGGGGGCACCAGCTTATAGTTTGGATTTTTCCAAAATAAAGGAAAACGTCCGCGACAGATGGAGTTGTCCTACACCGGAGCCCTCTCTCCCTGATCCCCAAAATACCACTCGCCCTTTCCTCCCCTTTTCCCCACAGAGACCGTCTCTTTTTCAAAACATCGCTCTCCTCTCTCCCTTCTCCTCCTTTCCCGGTTGACCGCTCTCCCGACGCCGCGCGCACAAGTATATGAAAATCACCAGCGATAGCAAATGAAAAAAAGCTTCTTATTAATTATTATTTTCCCAATTTTCCTCTACCACAAACCCACACAATAATCTCCTGATTCCTCAGGATTCGCCCTTTTTTCCTATCCCCTGTTCCGGCACATACACACAAACAGAACAACTAAAAAACTCCTTTCTCCTCAGGAATCGCCTTTTAATGTAATCCTCCGATAAAACTTTTTTTTTAAAAAGGGGGAAGGAAAGAAGCCGCTGTGTCCCTCTCTCTCCTCCCCGTTCCCCTCACAAAACACGGTCACTTTGCTCCTTTTCTGTTTCCGATACACTTTGACGTATCGTTTCTCTTCTTTATTCCCCTCTTCCTTTCTCTGCCCTTTTTCTCTCCGTCCCCTCTCCCGCTGTTCCCCCCTCACCCTCTCTCTCTCCTCCGCACCCCAACAAAAGCCTTTTAAGAGATAAAACTCGAGTTTAAAAAATGACCATATCCACCCCCTTTTTTTATTTCAAAGCAGCAAAAAGAAGAGAAATCCACACAGATGTCACCTTGTTCTCCCCCTCCCCTCCTATGTCAATATTTGGAGTTATTGTTATCCCTATTCTATTTCTCGGTTACAGATTACCTCCGGAATCTCTCGCCTCCACCGGTAAAACAGAGGGAAAAAAGTTATTTTAAAATGTATATTATGTTATCTTCCTCCTCCTTCAGGGCATAAATCCTCTTCCCCGCCTCCGGCTCTTCAAAGCTCCTCTTCCCTTTCCTCGTCTTTTCTCCTCAAATCCTTCCTTTAAAACTTTTTTTCTTTTCTTCCTTTAAACCTTCTTTTCCTCCTTTCCTCTTCAGCAGAAGCAAATTCTTCCTTTTAAAACAGTTGTTTTTTCTCCTAAAAAAAATCCTCCTATAAAACGACGCGTTTCCTTTTTTTCGCCTCAAATTTCTTTAAAACAAATGTTCCTGTTCTCCTTCAAAACTATGTTTTTTCCTCCTTTCTTTTCAAAAGAAATTTCCTCTTTTTTGCTCCTCAAAATCTTCCTTTAACCCCTCCCTACCCTCTCAACTGTGTTTATGGATTCTGTATTCCTCCTCTGAACAGAAACATGTAACCTCAGTTCGGGGATCTCTTGGTATCTGTATAGTATATAACAGACGCGGACAGACACGGCCCCAAATCCAACCCCTTCACTTTAAATGTCCGACGGATTTCCTCCCTGAGATGGAGCCCAGTCTCCAGCCGCCGAGCGATCTCTTGCCCTCACCTAATTCTTCAGTTCCTTCCACGAAAAATAAACTCCCGGCTCTGACCCGCAGCCCTGGGAAGCCTTTCACTGCCCCGAGGAGGTCATTGCCGGTCCGATTTTCCTTCAGAATTGTCCACATGTAAACATTCCCTCCTTTTGCTGACAGAGGGGTGTCTGACACTCAGCCTCAGCCGCAGGATCTGCTCCCACACGGGTTTGGGTTAAATCATTTCTCTCCTCCTCTCCTTGTGCTGCACAGACACTGCTCCTTGTGCTCGTTCACAGTCCAAAGGTCCCCGACACTGTGAAGCTCATGAATCGACTGTTCCAAGTGGCTGTGAAGTGATTAACACACATACAAGGAAGGCAGAGAAAATGAGGAAATCTGTGCTATTTTTAACCCCCTTTATTCCTTCTGAATTTTTTTTGAGAATGAAGATGGTTTGGAAGGGGTGGAGGGAAGAGACTGAGCTAAAGGGAGATGGTGACCGTGAACATGAAGAAAGGGAGTAGACAGACAGACAGTCAGACAATCTGGGAAACGCCCGCCTGACACACCTATGAGAACCAGAAGCCAGGATTTCAAAAGAAAATCACATTACTGAAGGCACAGCACCCTCTACAGTACGCTGGTCGATAACAGGCAGAATATACAACAACCTAATGACATTTGTAAAGCGCTTTTCAGGTCGGGAGAATATCCCAAGGCTCTGAACTGTCAGGATCAGGAGCCGAGCGTGGGGGGACAGTGTTGGGATGAGGGAGGGCAGAGGGGGTAGGAGGGCAGCCGAAGGCACGGTCAAAAGGAGGGTCTTGAATTGTGTCTTGAAGGAGGCAAGAGACGGAGCGAGACAAAGGAATTGTGGGATGGAGTACCAAAGAGTGAGGGCAGAGAGGCTGAAAGCCCAACTGCCAATGGTAGGACAGGTCGGGCAGGAAACCTGGAACAGGCCAGAGCCTGCTGAGCGGAGGGAGCAGACAGGCTGGTAGAAAGTAAGCAAGGTCAGAGATGTAGGAAAGGGCAAGGCCATGGATGGCCTTGAAAGTGAGGATGAGGATTTTGAATTCCACCCTCTGAGGGATGGGGAGCCAGTGGAGCTGGCCAGGGTGGGGGTGATGGGGTCACGGAGCCTGGTGCGGGAGAGGACACAAGCTGCAGAGATCTGGATGATCTGCAGCTCATGGAGGGAAGTTCTGCAGTTGAGCCTTGAGGTGACGAATGCGTGTATGAGTTTCGGCAGCCTGGGGCGGGGGGGGGGGGAGGTGAGGCAGTGGCAGAGTCAGGCAATGTTGTGGAGTTGCAGGAAGGCAGAGCGGTTCATGGCACTTCCGTTAACCCTCAAAGGACAGGAACAAGTAGAAAATAATTGATGAACAAACTGAGTTGAGATACATATTCGTCAAATATAATATTCCCAAAAAACTGAATTATTTTAATATTCCTTGTTGCATTGGATCCAGTGCTTGTTACGTTGAAACATCTCAAAGCGCTCAGTAAAAGTTTTTCTGTAAACAATAACAAAATTACATTTGTACAGCGCCTTTCCCGTCGGGAGGACGTCCCAAGGCACTTTAACAATCAGTGTTTCAGACCCAAGCTGAGGGTCAGTATTGGGGAGGGCAGGGTGGGAAGGAGAGTGACCAAATGCATGGTCGAAGAGAAGGGTGTGAGGGAGGCGAGGGGGTGAGGTGGAGTGATTGTGGGATGGAGTTCCAGTGGGTGGGGGCAGAGTGGCTGAAGGCCTGCCTGCCAACGGTGGGGAGGACAAGGGGGGGATGTCAAGCAGGCTGGAGCCTGCTGAGCGGAGGGGGCAAGTAGGTTTGTAGGGGGTTAGGAAGTCGCAGAGGGAGCAAGGCCATGGAGGGCTTTGAAAGTGAGGACCAGGATCTTGAACTGTATCCTCTGTGTAATGGGAAGCCAGCGGAGCCAGGCGAGGATTGGAGTGATAGGGTCGTGGAGCCTGGTGCGGAGAGGATACAGGCTGCAGAATTCTGGATGATTTGCAGCCTGTGGAGGGAGGAGTCGAGGATGCCGACAAACAGGGAGTTTGCGTACTCGAGCCTGAATGTTCTGAGTGCATGTATGAGGGTCTCGGCGGCCTGTGGTGTGAGACGGTGGCAGAGCCAAGCAATGTTGTGAAGGTGGGGAAAGGAGAACCAGGTCATGGCACAAATGTGGGGTATGAACGGCAGTTGAGGGTCGAATAGGATGCTGAGGTTCCGTATTGGCTCCATGAGGTGTAGAGTGCATCCATGGAGGGAGATGCTGTCACGGTCCAAGGTATGAAGGCATTGACAGGAGCCAAGTAGGGGGGCCTCGGTCTTGTTAACAGTCAACTGCAGGAAGTTAGCTCTCGTCCAGGACTTGATGTCTGACAGGCTGGAGGCAGAGACGGTGGAAGCAGAGAGGTTGAGTTGGATGTCATCCGCATACATGTGGAAGTTGACCTCACCAAGTGATGTCACCAAGGGGGAGCATATAGATATTGAAAAAGAGAGAACCAAGTACAGGGCCCTGAGGAACGTAGCATGTGACAGTGCGGGAGCTGGAAGAGAAGCCGTTAGTGGCGACAGAATGGAGATGGTGGGAGAGGTAGGATTTGAACCAAGCAAGTGCAGGCCCGCTAGATTAAGCCGAGAGGAGAGGCCGTGTAGGAGGATAGAGTGGTGGACAGTATCGAAGGCAGCAGAGAGATGGAGGAGAACAAGGAGGCAGAGAGAGCCCTGGTCGCAAATGTTCAGAATGTCATGAGTGACTTTGACCAAGGCTGTTTCTGTGCTGTGGGCAGCACGGAAATCCGACTGGAGGGGTTCAGAGAGGAAATGGCGGGAGAGGAAAGCGTGAAGCTGGGATGCGACTACTTGTTCCAGGGCCTTGGAGAGGAAAGGGAGGTTGGAGATGGGGTGTTAGTTAGAGAGTAGGCATGGATCCAGAGAAGATTTTTTGAGGTTAGGGGTGATGACAGCTGTTTTTATGGGGGTGGGAACAGTGCCAGTGAATAAGGAAAGGTTAATAATGTCGGTTAAAAGACGGGCCAGGATGTGGAACTGGGAGGTGAAGTCTTTTTGTGGTCAAGCCAGATCTGCCAATGGACTGTTAGTTTTGATTTGGACCAGATGTGTTTGGCAGCATGCACTTGTGGCCTTGAGGGATCAGAGATGGCTGGTGTAGCATGGGGCTTTTATGGAAATATGAGGCAGTTTGCGAGGTGAGGTGGACAAGGGGGTCAAGGATGGAGGAGAGAGAGTTGCGGAGAAGAGAGATTGAGCAGGGTAGATCATTGTGAGAGGAGGGCCAGAGGGGCAGGAGTTCGGATGACTCCACGGTAGCGGAGAGGTAGTGGGGGTAGATTTTTTTCCAAGGCCGTTAGATGATAGAAGTGGGTTGAGTAGGGGGAAGGGAGATGGAGGTGTTAAGAAGGTGGTCGAGGGCTTTGTGGGGGGGCGATAAATAAGGAGAATTTTGACAGAAAGGTTGGAGGGCTGATAAAGGGTAAAGTGCTCAAAGGAGGGGAAGGTT